ACCGGCCGGGTAGGTCCGCGAGCGGGGCCGGGCGGGGCCGCGGCTCCTACCGGCGTCCCGGGGCCGCGATGTGCGCTGGGTGTCCCTGGGTGGGCCGGAAAGCAGGGCGGGCAGCCGGCGGTTCCTCCGTCAGAAGGCTTCCATCATCTCCCACAGGACCCAGCTGAGCTCGGGTATGCGTGCACAGCTCCTCCGGCCGCGCCTCGGCAAGTTGGGGATTACCGGAGAAGCAGCCGTGCCGCTCCTGTGTTATCACTGGAGCATCAGTCTCCCGGGGGACCTTCTCCAAGTGTCTGGGTGGGCATCGTGTGGTGCCCCCTTCCCGCTGCCGCCTCCGAGTGCGGCCAGGAGGGAAGTGGGATACGCGAGGGCAGYCCCACTCGGAGCTGTTTTGGTTACTGTGCTCTGCCCTCGCTGCTCAAGGGCAGCTAGTGTTGGTCATGATGAAGTATCCCAGCATTGCTGGGCTTGCCAGAGGCCAAGGCTGGGATAACAAATGGTCATGGGAGCAGTTTTGCAGCTTGTCTTTGGAGTCATTGGTAATGTCCGTGTTTTGTAGCGCTATATGTGCTCTTGGTGAASTTTGCCATGCCCAGCCCACACTCTCGTGTCGCTTACCTGCTCCACCTGGAGCATTGCCTCTGGCTTTAGGGCTCCCAACACGAGACCAACAAGGAGCTGCTGGAGAAGAGGAGACTCCGGGGAGACCTCAGAGCCYCTTCCAGTGCCTAAAGGGGCTCCAAGAGAGCTGGGGAGGGACTTTGGACAAGGGCCTGGAGGGTCAGGACACAGGCAATGGCTTCCCATTGCCAGAGAGCAGGGATAGACAGGATATTGGGAAGGAATTCTTCCCTGTGAGGATGCTGAGGCCCTGGCATAGGTTGCCCCCAGAAGCTGTGGTTGCCTCATCCCTGGAAGTGTCCAAGGTCAGGTTGGATGGGGCTTGAAAAAACCAGCTWGACCATAGTGGAAGGTGTCCCTACCCATGGCCGGCGAGTGGAATGAGGTGGGCTTCCAACCCTTCTATGAATCTTTCTCCTGCTTTAGAAACAAAGCTTTTTTCTCTCCCAGTGACTTCTGGCATCTTGTTGCCACAAAGAAGCAGGGATTGTTCTCCCACTTGTGCTTCTCCTGACTTGAGCCCCTTTCCTGCTGCTGTATTATGTTAAGGGAGGTCTCATAATARTCCTTGTCTAAGTATTGAATTGACCAGAGGAACAAAGCTCTAGAGGGTGTGCATGAAAAGTTATGGGTAGAAGTTTATGAAAATGAGTTTTAATTTTTTTTTCCTCACTTAATATTCTGGTTTCTTCTCGTATCAAACTGAGGGAGGGGAAACAAGGAGAGGAAAAAAATCTTGAATTAATGGGTGTTTTTGAAAATGCTGCCCTTAGCATTTTGACAAGTTTGACACATGGTTTTATCTAAAGCTGCATTTTAGGGTGAAGGCAGGGAGAAGGGACAGAACTYCTTGAGGAGAGTTGGCTATTTTCCTGTTCTGACAATTTGCTGGTATTAGCTGTTAGTAGAGGAAACACCAAACCCATTTAATCAGTCTTCAGGTTTTCTGAGTGTGGGGTTTTTTGTTGTTGGACTTTTTGTTAGTTTGTTTTATTTGTTGTGTTTATTTGTTTTGTTTGGGTTTTTTAAGAATTACTCGTGTGTTCACTGCAAATGCAGAGTTGAAGTTGTATTTTCAGGGATTTCTCAGGGTTCAAGCTGTTAAGCTGTTTTGTTGGAATGATGGTCCAGAGACACAAGCAGTGGGTGGTCAGTAGTGGGCTCTTGGGAGCTTGCTGCTGTGGAGATGGAGGAGTCTCATTATGGCAAGGTGACAGGGTGAACAAGAAGTCCCTGGAACAAGAACAAAGATTCTTGGTCATTTCTGGTGCTCCAAAGATGTAAGTCTGCCCCAGTTGCTCAGTAGGGATGATGTTCATTTTTAACTGGCAGGTTGCCTTGTCCTGTCAGGACAGGTGATATGCAGAGTCTTCAGCCCTTCCTAGGAGTCAGCTGATATTACCAAACCTAATCAAAAAAAGAGCTGGCTAAATTTTTGGGCTAGTTTGTCACTTTTTCTTTTGAGGAAATGTTCTTAACTGTTATATTGAAAACTTAATGTGGCATCTTACCATCTGTTTCTTTTTCAGGGCTGGTTAAAAACTTATGGCTACTTACTTCCATCTGACAGCCAAATGTCTGCCTTGCAGTCGGGAAAAGCTGTGCAGTCTGCAGTTGCCACTATGCAACAGTTTTATGGAATCCCAGTAACAGGAGTTTTGGACCAGACAACTATTGAGTAAGAGTCATATAGGCTACTTTTTTCTTTCTCTTTCTTAACGCATTGTCATATCTCCTGGGTAATTATTCCAAGTGCAAGAAGTCCTCAAAAGGGATAGATTTGTCTGACTACCTGTACAGAGAAGTCTTGATTATGAAAAAGTGTCTCTAACAAAAATATGTGGACAATTCCACTTTTCTTTTTGCTGACAGTGTCATTTGTGAGTGTGAGGAGAAGCTGTTGTTACTGGTGTTCTTTGAACACAGATCCTCATTGCTGGTGCACGATCAAAGCGTGAATCCTGTGAGCTTCTGAAAGTGGAGGACATGAAGGGTTTAATTTATTTCTATCTCTGAATTTAGGTTAAAATTCTGGCTCTAGAAATGGCTTCTAATCTATTTCTTAATTGATTTGATTTGTGTATCTCCATAGATGCTGTCTGTGGAGATCCACAGTTTGAACTGAAGTGAGKTGTAGTCTGATGACAATAGTCAGGGCTACTCAGCTGCCCATCGTTGCCATTTGTTGGACATTAGATGTTCTCTGCTGTGTGTTGACCATGTGGCGTTGYTTGTGATCAGAGTTTTGATAGCACACAAGCATTGGTGTAAATCGCCAGGGCTGAAGGGACTTTTTTCTTTAGTCTTTCCTTCAGTTTGGGCTGCAAAGGGTGGTGTGGAAGTGGCTCTTTGTCCAGTTGCCTGGGATGTAGTGGCTGGATCCATCTGCTGTTGGTCTGGGGAGCATCTGCTGACTAAAGCAGAATGCAAAGGTCTTTCTAAAGCTTTCTGGCAGAAAAAAAGCATTTCATGGTGAGCAAAAAGAGAAAGCCAGTGGAACTTTAGGCTCTGCCTATAGTTTTCCCTTGCCCTTGCTACATGAGCAGACTCTTTCAGAGCGTGCTCTGCCTGGCTCTTCATCTCTCCTCTTAGGGCAGTCTGCTGGCAAAAGGGACACAGTAGCACGAAAGAAAGGGCCACAAAGTAGCCAAATAATGTAAAGAACAAAGGGGATTGGCTGTGTGCTTTCCAGACTGCAAGAAAAGGGAGAAAGGGAGGAAATTAGTGATGTGGACAGGAGGGGATGGTCCTGGGCTGGGACTGCCTCTCCAGTGAATGTAACATTCCCTTCTTTAGCTYTCAAGAAAAGCCCCTTGTTCTCCATCGAGGGATAGAGAAAATCCTGTTTGTTTTTCAAATGAATTGAAAACAAAATGCTTTTTAAAGGTGGAGATTTTCCATCTGAGATCTCTTTGCCTTTAAAAACACAGTTTGTAGGTAAATGCTGAAGCAGAGCCATTGAGCAAGCTCTGTGTGCGCAGTTGGTGTGTAGAAGTTTGAATTTGGGATGCTGATGAGTTGGAAGGGGATGGGGAAAAAAAGGGCTGTGGTACTGGGCTGCTAGTTTGGAAAATTAAGGAGCTGTTCTGCTGCCTTGTCGCTGACTGGGGAAGGGAGGAAACTGCACGTGAGGGTCTCTAGTAAGTAAGTTTTTCCGAAGGAAAGGAAGGTATTGCCCACATTTTAGTGAGTTTGTATTTATGGGCAGGGGTTGATCAGTGCGTGAACACACAAAGGGTGATGAGTGAAAAGCCTGGATGGTTCCCTTATCTGAAACTCAAATCTCCAAAATCTTGAGACCTCAGCTGCAACCGAACACTGGTGCTTTGGAGTCGTGTTGGGTTGTTCTGCCTCCATCTGTCCGGAGTCAGTGGGTCCATATGTTGTATGGCAGGGTGGAATTTGCCTGGAAGTTGCATGAATGGAAAAAGCGGTCCAGATTGCTGTCAGCAGTGAGCCTGTCCTTGGAGCTGGAGGGGCATCTGCCTGGGCTGTACTGGGCTGTCACTTCCTCAGACCTSGTTGTGGAAGCTGAGCAGAAGCAAAAGAGCTGGCAAGGCAGGCTGCCTTCAAGGGCTCTGAATTACTCAAGCATTTACTAAGTTGTTGTTTCAGTCTGTGTTATGAGTTTTGAGATTGCAATTATGAATTTTTCTGTCACTTCCATCAGTGTCATAAGCTCTGTCTCTTTAAAGTGACTTTAAGCATAAAAGTTATGCAAAGTTTTTATTTTCTGTGGTTTCTTTGTTAGGCAACAAATTCTGCATATTCCGTATATTCTATTTACACTTGTTAYGGAAACCTTAAGTTTTTCATCTCCTTTCTCATATGTCCCCAAATCCAAGCTTGTTTTTTGCTCCAAGATTGTCTGTACCTCCGGCCTGTGGAAGCCACCATGTAGGTGCTGCTAGTGGGAGATGGGAAGAAACACCTCCACTGGTGATGCTTTTTGGTATCCAGAAGGAAGGTTGGGTGKGGGTGTGTTCAGCTGAGGGTCTGTCTTGAGGATATGTAGGGAGAGCAGGGAGAATACATAAAACCCTGCAACTGATGGTGCCTCAGCAAATTTTGTGTCTGCTTGCAGCTGGTGGGCTGAACTGTGGTTTTGCTGAGCAGCTGGGCAAGGATATAGTCCTGAAGCATGCTGGAGGGAAGGCACACTAGTGCTGAACAAAAGCGGTGATTTGTCTTTGTCCGGATCAATCACATGGCCTTGAAAGGAGCCAAGAAATTATCTTACTTATGTTGGAAGTTTCTTGTGCTTTGTCTTGAGTCTGTTGTGCAGGTCTCTCACCTTGGGGTGCACCACAGCTTTTTAAAGATACCACTGCTGCCAGCTCAAGAATAGGGTATTGAGAATGACAGCTTCCTCTGTTTAGGAGAGTCCTGTGGAGGGCTTGAAGCCTGAGCTGGGGAAAGCAGCTGTGTCTGGACRAGAACTAGATGTCACTGCTTTTGGAAATTGCCTGTTTTATGATGCCAAGCAGCTGGAGGAATGCAATAGTCTATGCCTCAAGAGTGCCAAGTATAAATTTTGATGATCCAGTGTTACTGGTGTTCCCATTTAAAAAGTAAGGAGGAGGGGAAGCAACCATAAGTATCTTGCTTCAAGTAATCATGTTTTGTGGTTTCTGATGTGATGATTTCCCCTGGAACACGGAGAGGGTTATCCAAACTGCTCAGCAGAGAATGACTGTCATAAAGCTCAGCTACAGATGATCACCAGCAGCAAGCTACACCTTGGTGGATGTTTTGCCACAGACCTGCCCTGCTGAGGCAAGCAAAGATGGCTGCATTTGTACCCTGGCCCATGYGGTTAGGCCAGGGCCCATATATCTGGGAAGTAAAAGTTGAATCAGGGAACCAATACAGATAAACACTCAGCTTGACATTAGCTCAAACTGTCGACAGCTCAGGTTCTGGTGAGGTCCAGCCTGGTAGCTGGGCTCTGTTACTTGGCTTCAGACAGGCAGTAGCTGAGCTCTGGAACAAACTGTGGTGGTGTATGTGGTTTCAGACAGGCCTGGCTGAAATGGGATTGAAAGAGGAGTTAGGGGCTATGGGCAGCATAAGTCTCTCAGCAGCTCTACCTCAGAAGCTTTGGCTCATGAAGTCTTTGAAGCCCCTGGTGTCAGTATTGCAGCTTCCTCTGGGGCAGCCCCATGCCCTGTGCCTGTACCTGGAGCTGGCATAGTAGCAGGGAATTTGTTTGTTGGACGGAATTCACTTTTTGTGGGGTTTCTGTGCAGTTCTGGCTTTGGTAACGGGGCTGAGCTGTGTGGGGCTGAATTCTTTGTGGCCAGCTGGGCATAGGACAGGCATTGTGAACTTGGCAAGGTGTTCCTACAGGAAACAGATGAGCTGAGGTGTGAGGTCCCGCTGGTGTGTCAGCACTGCCCTGGACAGCCTTGGTGTCTTGGTGACTTCTCTGCACATGCAGGCTGGTTTGAGAATACTGCTCTGTTAACTTTTGTCTTCTAGATAGGATGATACTAGATCTAGTGAGGAYTAAACAGGGTTATTTTCTGACTATAATCAAGGCCTGATGATGGTGATGTTCAGAGTACTGGAGTTCCCATGAAGCTCAAGAGGTGAAGCCTAATTCACACTATGGCTTATGTAAGGYTATGCTAAAAACACTGTATCATATCATATGAGTGGAATTTTTAAAAAACCCTGARAACTCAGGAAATATCGGGGAGAATACAGGTCACAGCAAGCATGAGRTCTCTCTAGGAAAGTGCTAGAAGCAATGCAAAAGAGCACAAATGAAGGACACGTGGAAAAACACAGTGTGTTGAGGTTGATTTAATATTTCTAAAAGCAAATCTAAGATGTAATGCTTTTCTTTGAAGGTGGCAGCAGTTGTGTGGGCAAGACAGATCCGATTTCCACAGGTTGCCTGGATTTCTGAAAGATGTACAGTGCTGATAAATGTGAGGTGATGTAAGTGGGGAAGATCTGTGCTGGCTTTATATACACAGCTTGGGTTCTTGTCAGGTACAGTGCAACATGTATAACAACTCTCATTTGCTCTGTTCTTGGTGGGGAGACGATGACAGATGACTGCGCTGAAATTTATAAGCAACCAGTTMCATATAGCAAGTGGAATCAGGGAAGGGCTGCAGGCTGCCTGAATTGGGAGCAGGTGTGTGTGCTGTGAAAGAATGTTCTGCTGAGGCACAGTGTCTGTCTGTCTGGTTTTAATTTAAAAGGTGTCTGAGAAAAGAAGTCCTGTAAGTCATCTACTGGTGATGGGACACCCTCCCTTCCCAAAGGTCTGGGGCTAATATTTTTTGGTRAGTAAGATGTACATTGTTTAGGCACAAGCATGGACTACTTGCCATTGGCTGGCTGCAGTTGATGGGGGAGTGTCTGCATTTGGAGRCCAAAAGTTGTCCCCTGGGTGGCCAAGGATGTGGAAGAAACCTTACTGAAGCGGGGGGAGAGAATGTGGTGTCCTGTGTGAGAAATGGGGCAGGTCTGGCTGCACTGCTTTTCTCATGTGTAACGAGGCAGTGGCATGTCCTGCAAAGTGTTCTGAAGAGCTTTGTGTCACCGTGGACASTTGCCTCTGCCATTAGAGTCAGTGGATCAAGTGCATGAAACGCCTGAAGGATTCCAGTGGCTGAGGCAGTGCCAATCTGCTTGGGGAGCTGGTGGTCAGAGATAGCTTGTGTTACTGTGGGCTCTGCTCTCCTGTCCTGGGCTGCACTGCAGAATCTCAGAGGATTCTCCACCAGGGACCTGTGAAGACGATACCAGTCTCTGTCCTTGTCTCCTTCTTCCCCACTGCCACAGGCAGTGATGGGTAGATTCATTCCTCCACAAGGCACTTCTGACTTCTCTGGAGTGTGCCCGCATGAGCAAGTGTATTTTGAGTAACAGTCTTATTTCTCCTTGATTCTCTGTGAATCCAATCATTGAGGTTGGAAGGAACTTCTTGAGATCATCTACTCCASCCCTTTGCTAAAACAGGGATATCTAGAGGACCATTCCCAGGACTATTTCCAGTTGGGTTTTGAGTATCACCGAGGATGGAGATTCTGCCACTTCTCTGGGTAGCCTGTGCCAGTGTTTGACCACCCCTAAGCTGCTGCAAGAAAGAAGCAAAAGATCTGACAAGGCTGGAGGTAAAGGAGGTAGGGACAGAGACTGGACTTCTCTGATAATATTACTTGGATTTCTGTGTGAGAGACAGCATCCTTTGCTCTTCCAGTTGGCCTGGCCATAGAGACTAGAGTCTCCTACACCATGAGTGACATAAAGAGTCAGGGATTATGGGGGGAACCTCATGGAATTTGGTGTGTGTTACCCAGAGACTGGGGGGATCTGTTCTGGTCATTCCAGGTGAAAGCCTTAGAAATTATCTGGGAGRGCTGTGTTTGCACTTGTTCAGTTTTACCTAGTGAGGTGTGAACTGGAMTTTTTTTCAGTGACACAGGAGCAYTTTATCAAATGGACAAGTGGAGCCYGTAGGTGAYGGGTGAGTTTGATCCCAGGGCACACCCATCTGCAGTTTTGATTTGGGTCTCTTKTGGCATTATCATMATTAAACTCTTGTCAAGCATAGGGGCTGCCTGATGTGGTATCTGCATTTCCAAAACGAAAAATGAAGTGGTTTTGATGAGCTGAGATGTGCAGATTGGCAGCAGAGGTKCACAGGCCTGTGCAAAGATAGTAAATCTGACAAAGGGAGGACTGAGTCCTCCTTGGGGTCAGCACTGGCCATGCCTCAGAGGTCTTCCAGTCACCCCCTAGGTTCTTTGGAATCTCTTTYCCAAACTCATTGTGTAGCTTGCTTTTGTTTTTTCCCTTTCCTTGCAGGTGGATGAAGAAGCCTCGATGTGGCGTTCCAGATCATCCCCATCTACGTCACAGCCGGAGGAAAAAGCGCTATGCACTCACTGGGCAGAAGTGGAGACAGAAGCACATAACCTACAGGTACAGCCCCCTCCCTCCCCCTTTCAGATGGGTTCAAAATGGTCTGTACTTGTTTGGCATGCAGAACCTGTAAGTGCTTTTAAATTGAAACTGGATCCTCCRTGTAATGTCTAGTCCAGGCTTTCATTCTCAGAATGTGTGGAAGGGATTTCTTTCAGAGCAGTGGAGTAACATAAGAGTCTGTTATCAATTAGTAAATAACTGATCAGCAAAGGCACCTAAATCCCAGCCACCAGTTGTGTAATTTGGGCAGGAAAATCTTTKTAAAAGGCTCTTTTTCCTTCCATTAGAAATCTAAGGCTCTAGCCTTTAGGTAATGTGTCACCTTTAACAAACTATTAAGGCAGTTTATTACTTTTTGGGGATGAGAATCTTTGTCCTTCTACTAATCTGCAGCATTTGTTTTTGCAGAGGTTTTACTTTTGCTCCTGTAGTAGAGCTCTTGCTTTTGTCCAGGCTCAGGCCAGCTGAGGTTAGGCCAACTGGAGTGAGCTACAGGTGTTATGGAGGGACAATTGTCACCCAGAGATGTGTTTTAAGTCAGTCAGGCTGTGAGCTTTTGATAGGCAATTGCTGAAAGATGGCCAGTGGAGGTTTCTGGCAATAAAAATGTCACTTAAAAATAAAATTAACCCACTCTCCAGTTGAAATTACAGCCTTTTAATTTTCTTGGAGGGCTAAAGGGGATTGCAAAGGAGTAAAAACTGGGGATATAGTCATTAAGGAGAAGGTTGGGTAGGACTAAGACAGAAAGTAAGTCTGCAGTGAAGGGGTAGAAATGTGAGTGACCAGCAWGAGGAAGGTGCCAGAATGTGTAGGAAAGGACATGATGGTGTGAAGGGAAAGAGAATCAGGGGCTGGGGCACTCTGTTGCTTCTGCCAGGAATTCTGAGAAAGGAAGAGGATTCTTCAAGCAACCATAAGGGACTGCGGAGACTGGGAGAAGGGACTTATTCTGGGGACTAGTTCAAAGCTTCTGCCAATAATCATTACTTTAACTCAGATTATAAAGGGACACCTGTATGCAAAGGTCTGAGAGTCAGATTCTGCTTCTAACCTTGTCTGGACCTTAAAGAAAAGTGGTATGGAACCATATAAACAAAAGGCTTCTTAAACATAYACATAAGCAAGAGAAGCAGATTGGCTGCACTGCTGCCTTTGTCTAACCAGTAGTTGTTTAGCTTTCCAATTTCAGTATTCATAGTGTGCATTTAAGTGTGCATGGGTGTCTTGATTCACCACTGAATGTGTTACAGTGTCTTTATATTAAATTGAGCCATCTTCATTAAAGACTGAAAATTGTTCCCATGTCATAGATATTTCATATTCCCGAAGTCAAGTTTAATATATCGTGAATCTATTATATGCACATGGACAAAACACCTCATGAACAGCATTTTTAAGATAAAGTTTAGAAATCTGGGAAGTTTATGTGCAGTCAGCCTCCTCTTACCCTTCCCAAACTCCGTATCTTTACCTGTCATGGACTGGACTGCACAAAACTGGCAGCCTGTCCATGACAGTTTTATTACAATTATTACAGTCTGATGTGAAGCTTTGCTTTTGTGGGTCTGCATTACTCCATGTAGTGGCACCAGCAGAGGTTCAGCCCRTCTGTGTTTGGAACCAGCTGTCACCCCACAGGAGAGCTTATAAAGGTCCATCAGCCTTTATAAGCTCTGAAATATTTTAAGTAGTCCTGAGAATGAAGTAGGTCATATAGGTAAGGTTGTGTAGTTTACTAAAGATTTGTTTCTCGAAAATGAATTGTAGTGGTCAGGTTTTTTTTTCATGTAATAGTAGACTCCATYTTATCATGATAGCTTCAGACAAAGTCTGAAGTAATTTACATTTTTGAGCTAAGTTACTCAGCTGCCTACACTCAGATTTGAAAGGCTGTTAGGTTTTTAGGAGGTGATCCATAATCAACCAAAGCATTCTGAAGATTCTTGTTGGTAAATGTAGCCTTCAGATCGGGTAGTAGTTTTATTGGTAACTTTCTTTGTAACAGCAAAACTTTGCACGCACAGAGTAGTGTCTGCAAAAAATAGACCCTTTGGAAGTTGGAATTGTGTGGCTGTATATTGATAAGTCTCAAATGTATTCTGCAAAGTGAAACATCCCTTCTTTCTCATTCCCACAGTGTGCACAACTACACCCCCAAAGTCGGCGAGATTGATACGAGGAGAGCCATTCGTCAGGCCTTTGATGTTTGGCAGAGAGTGACACCACTTACCTTTGAAGAGGTCCCTTACCATGAAATAAAAAATGACAGAAAGGAGGCAGATATTATGATATTTTTTGCTTCTGGTTTCCATGGAGACAGTTCTCCGTTTGATGGAGAAGGTGGATTCCTGGCTCACGCTTACTTTCCTGGACCGGGAATTGGAGGAGACACTCACTTTGACTCAGATGAGCCATGGACCCTGGGAAATTCTAACCATGATGGTAAGAGTGCAGGTCATCTTTGCCAGCAAGGAAAAGTTGGATGCAGACACAGTGACAGGCTTTCAACTAGAACGTATTTGCTTGGTGGAGCTTTAACTTCCCAATGGTTTGGATGCTTTCTAAACATGTGTTCCATCTCACATGGGAAAAGAATAGTTTGTTTGTTGCTGTGCATGGTGTGAATTTTAGAAGTGAACAGAAGAGTGTGTCTGCTGGCTTTAAGATTCTGGCTTTAATTGCTACAAAAAACACACTCTAGGAGGACAAAGATGAACAAAAGAGTGTTGAAATTGCATCAAATGTAATACTTACCAAAAGCATTTAGAATTAGTTGTAAATGGTGAGTAGAAAGTTGAGAGTAAAGTAATTTGAATGTCAAGTTGTTTTGAACCATATTTGTTTTCTCACACTCTGGGATTCCTCCTTCTGTCAGAAGTTGGGGCTGGCTGATTAGTTAAGGGAGGTTGATCGTTGGGACAACTGTTTTTATCTTATTAAGGTTGAAGAGTTTCTGCATCTTTCTGTCTTTATTTACTCTCTAAAGGCAATGAGCTCTTTCTGTTCTATTTTCAAACCTTTGATTGATGATAGTGATGCCTTGTATAAAGTTTAAGCTGATAATCAGAATTTCACAGTGGCCTCACAAAATATCTCTCCAATTTCCACAGTCATAATGGTCTGGGAAGAATGATGTGTCTTTAAGCCTTTAGGGATTCAAAATAATGTTATATCAAAATATCAAAATAATGTTACGATATTTTGATAAGGATTAAAGTTGTATTTGAACTGTAAATATGTCTTGATTTTTAAACTGTATAAAAACATAGCAGATTGTTGTGATCATGATRCCTAAGGACACATGCAGAGGTGATRTCTTTCATGAGACGGAGCAGAAAAGAGGAAAAGCTTTCAGGCACACAAGCCACCTTCAGGCCTGGCCTAAAGGTGACAGCTTGCCTTCAGCCTGGATTGCAAATGGGGAAAATACCTCAGAGTTGTGAGGGGGTATCAGATTGTCTTTGTCAGGAAATGGAGCTGCCAGGTTCAGTGAAGGAGTGCTTATTTGTAGGAAAGCAGAAATGATATGATATCTGTCTTTGTAGGCAAAGAGGAGTAACATTTCCTGGYGTGTTTAAATGACTTGAGGAGGTGTAGGCTGAGAGAGAGGTGGTGAGGGGGCGAGTGTGGAGACTGTGGAAGGTTAGAGTGTGACAGAGAAGCAGTGTTTTGCTATCTTGAAATGTTTAGAATTTTTATTCCTGGGTTTGTGGCTGTAGGGGCTCCCTCCAGGCTCAGCAGTGACAGAGCCAGAGGCTGGGTGCTTACCTCGTGAACACTGCAGCAGCTAGGGGTGTTTGTGTGGCTCAGTGCTCTGGAGCAGTTTGCTCTGCTCTCAGGAGTTACTTGAGAGCTTGAGCTGAGCTACTAGCTAGCTACATAGCTAGCTAGTAGCTCAGCTATGGGAGGCACAGSTTTTGGATGGGATTGGAAATGACTTCCCAGGAACCCCCAGGTATGGGACCTGGGAGTGCTGCTGTCTGGGGTAGAAGGTGGAAGGGAARGTTTTGACAAGCTGTTCTTGTTTTTTCTATTCTCATTTTCTGCACGGAAGGCTTCCTTCTGAGATAAGCTCAGCAAGGTTGGGCGCCAGCTTAAAGACTGGCAGGGATGGCTCTGCAGAAAATTTTCCACTGGGTAGGAGGTTCTACCATAGGTGATCACTTCTTTGACTATTTTTTTGGATTCAGTTTTTAGGATTGTGTTTGAGAGCAATGCATACAATGAGTAGAGGGTCTCTCTTTGTAAAAAAGCTAATTTTTATGCTGATCTTATAATTTTTATGCTGATCTTATCCATGTGGCTCTTTCAAAAACATGATGTGTTTTTCTGGTGTGCTGAGTGACTGTCCTGAGTGGTGTCCTCAAAATGCATGAATTGGTATTTGAGGGGCTGGTGTGCACTTTGTGTGAGAATTGATAGAAGAATTGAGATTTCATTTTCAGAGAATCTCACCTGTGTATTTGCTTTCAGATAATGATGCTGCATAGACTGGGCTGGCAAAGGCTCTTTTAAAGTCACCATTGAGGATGTTAAGAGTGGTGGGGTTGTATTTGTCCCTTCCATATGGGGAAAGTGCTGATGGTAGAAGGGGAATTTAGCTTTAATGTACAAATGTGAAGATGTCCTGCCTCATCACTGAGTGATCCAGGCCTCTTTAGGGAGGGGTTTCCTTCTGTTCCAYTATTCCTTGTCACAGGAGCACTCTCTACCTTCATGTTCTCACCTCTGAGGTGTTTTACTTTAAATGCYCTTAGCAGGGCTTAAAGAGTTTCTTCTTGGTCAGAGGTTTCCTACTCAGTTCACTATCCGTTTGCATTGAAAATAAGGTGTTAGTGGGGACAAAATAATCTGTTTAATAGGAAGTATTACTTCAAACATGGTCTTGCTTGTCCTTAAAATATATATTCTGGGGCAATGGGGTTGATCAATCTGGAACTGAAGAAGCCTCAGGGAAAGAATAAAAAAGCCCTAAAAAAGCTAATAAATCACTGGCAAAGCTCTCATTTATTCACATGCAAAAGAAGAACTGGTTTGGCCATTCAGTATCTGTCCAATGATTATAAGAATCYTGAAAGAAGATTGAAGTAACAATGGTATCTTTACATCAACCTACAAAATATCACAGTGTAAAATGYTCCATTCCTGACAAGAATGTGTATTAGTTGAGGGGAAAATTGGAGCAATCTGTCTTGGAGCTCTCTTAGACTCACAATTGTGAAGGTAAATCTGTCAGCAGAGCAGAATGCTGCAACTGGTGCCATAGATCCTTTGAATATTTGGCTGACCTTTTATCCATGTAGTTTTATTGCAATTATTACAGTCTGATGTGAAGCTTTGCTTTTGTGGGTCTGYATTACTCCGTGTAGTGGCACCAGCAGAGGTTCAGCCCGTCTGTGTTTGGAAYYAGCTGTCACCCCACAGGAAAGCTGCTTTGCAGTCTGTGCTAGCAGTACAAATTACATGGATAAAAGTGAAACGTCTCACATGAAATTTCATCCAGTCAGGATGAATAAGAATTATTTGAGCAGGTCTTTCTGTGCAAATATCCGCCTCTGATTCGTACATAGAGCATRTGGTGTATCCTGTTGATAAAAGCTTCTACCTTGTAAAGATGCCTCATGATGATCCACTGGGGTTATTGGCAACTCTTGTCACCCCAGCTAGGGGATAGTTGGGATTTATGTACACATTATCATTTTGCATTGTCATTATTATACTGATTTTGCCCTTGTGGACAGCATGGCCACTGCCATGTCCCTTAAAATTATTCATGTAATCATAATACCTGTGATGCTGTGGRTTGTCCTCCTGAGCTCCTGGTAATAGGGGCACATGCACCAACCCTTCTGTTTTCTTCTGCTCTGAAGAATGATCCCTGCACAGGCTTTCAAAGTGAATGTAAAGCTTCCTTCCCCCTGRATATTAGTTACAGTTCCACTCACGCACTCAGTTTCTGTAGCCAAGTAATACTGTACTTCYAATTTATGATTGCTGATTTATCTTCATAATTGTACTGCCTTCTCTGGCATTCTCATAAGCAAGCTGTGGAAGATCAATTTAGATAATCTTATGAGGATGGGCAAAACCAGGTAGGAAGTTGAATTTCTGGAGCATCTCTTATTAACTGGGATCATGCAATACAGAATTCATTTGTTTTCTGGTGATAATGTCAATGGGAGCAGCTGGAAGYGTGAAGCAGAACACTGGGATTTGGAGGAACCAGGGCAATTCAGAGAAGTGTTGTGGCTAACAAGATGCAACTGAAAAAGAGGGGGAGCGTGGTTTTTACATTTAGAGATAAATCATCTACAGAACCACWTATGAGCAGCAGCTGTCATGGTCACAGTGGTGAAGATTTAGCTCGTGTTTTTCCTGAAGGTGTTCCTCAACAGCAGCTCTTGACCTTTAGCTGGTCCCAGGCTTGTTAAGCTTTGGTGCCTAACGTGGAGGGAGGTGAAGAYGTGTATGGAGTCCCTGTYCTTCAGGAGAACCWGGGGTGTGGCTGCTCCCCAGCCAGRGGRCCCCTCTTGGCTGCTCGTACACAGCTTTTGGTCACCCTCACATGTCAGTGCAGTCTAAGTGTCCCAGCCACTGGTTTTAKCAGAAGGGACACCAGACTTTCCTCTACTTTCTTCAAGTTTTGGGCATTTTTTACTTGAAATGTGCTGTAGAAACAGCCAAGGAGGCTTTGAACTGCCAATCTCARGACTCATGATGCTGACAAGTTGTTCAGGCAGCAAAGCCTGAAAGAGGGTGAACAGGCTTGGTCGTGCTGGGATCTCTCTCTGCCTTGGCACCTAACTTGGCTCAAGCACAGAGGTGATGCATGAAATCCATTATTAATGGGCCAAACCAAGTATTTCCTAGCCTTTAAATGGAGATAATAATTATAGATGTATGTGACTTCAAAAACAAGTTGAAAGGGAATCCTGAATGACTGAAAGTTTGTTCTGTCAGTTTAAATATCCACTTCACACATAACAGCTCTTACACACCTCTGGCAACYCAAACATTTTTTCATCCAGGATAAGTACACAAAGTAAATTTTAATCTCCAGTTTAACATTACAAATTGTATCAATAATAGTCCCAGGCAAATCTTCCTCCTGGTGTTTCAAAAGTGAAAAAACATTGCTGTTATGCATGTAGCCAACACTGTACTACTAAATCTGTGGTGTCTGCCAACCCCCTGCAGGTAGATTAGAGAAACTTTTTAATACCAAAGTGAGGTAGAGAGCTGAGGTATCCATACTCTGCCAGGGATCACTAAGTTTTGTCCTTTTCATGCCCAGAGCTGGCCTCTAAGACCCTCCCTGTCATCTGTTGTCATGTAGCATTGTAGGTKGGAGTGTGCCCAGGGCAGCCACTTCAGTCCCTTCGGAAACAACCATGGCTGAGGAGTTATTTCTGCACCAGCTCCAGTGCAGCTCAACTTCACAT